TAGCCTTCGGTTCCTGTTCAAGCTGAAGCTGGTTGATCACTTCAATTCTAACCTTGAGAAAGATCTGTCCCCTTCCAAAAAGAAGGGACCGCAACCTTGCAAAGTGTACAAGAAGAGAAGGGGTGAAAGATTCCTGCCATGCTCTTTCCAAAAACGCATTCTAGAGTTCCAGTGCTGGTAATTAACTGCTAAAGGTAATTAACTGTCATTAAGTCACATCTTGAATGACCACTTTCTCTCACCATGGCATTAGAGGGTTTAATATTTTTCCTAGAACTTTTTTTTTTTTTTTTTTTTTTTTTTTCGAAAAGAAAAAAAAAACACACAAAAAAAAAAAAAAAAAAAAAAAAAAAAGGTCTCAATGTCAGCTTTTCAAATCCATATGCCAAGAAGGAGGGTCATTAAAAAGAGCCAATGTTGACTTCTTCTAATCAATAAACACTACAAGAATAGCTGGACTCTATCATATCCACCAAGGTTACATTTTCTTTAGCCTTCGGTTCCTGTTCAAGCTGAAGCTGGTTGATCACTTCAATTCTAACCTTGAGAAAGATCTGTCCCCTTCCAAAAAGAAGGGACCGCAACCTTGCAAAGTGTACAAGAAGAGAAGGGGTGAAAGATTCCTGCCATGCTCTTTCCAAAAACGCATTCTAGAGTTCCAGTGCTGGTAATTAACTGCTAAAGGTAATTAACTGTCATTAAGTCACATCTTGAATGACCACTTTCTCTCACCATGGCATTAGAGCAATTTCTGTCAAAGAATTTTGGCACCTCAAGACAGAAAATTTACATTGTTGATCAAAGCTTTGAAACAAGGCTGCATTATTTTGCATTCTACTCTCTGAAACGCTTGATTTCCTGAACTGCAATAAAGTCAAAATAAAAAGCCTATTGATGTCTTGACTCAAATGGAGCCCGTGATAAAAATCTTATGAAGAATTTTAAGAATCTTCCAAAAAGAAACAACATCAAGAAAGAAGAGTATTTAATAAGAAAAGAGCTATGATACCTACAAAATAAAAAAAAACCTTGGAAATTGCTGATCCTCACTCATGCTGAAACCACTGGCCCATCCTGTCCAATCTTGTATTTGAATTCCCTTACACTTCGTACTTTAAAACTTGCATATATGCACACCAATTCCAAGGTTTATAAACACTCAGAAGAAATGAAAAAGACGTTCTCATGAAAGAGTTTTTTCAAATTGAGGTACTACAGGAAAATTTCTCTCTGGTAACTACATACAGCTAAAGAATTCATTTTTAAATACTTAATTCATTTAAGGTTCAACACTTTTTCATTGCTCAATTTTTATGCTGCCGTAAGATGAAGCAACGAAATGCCTAACTTGTTTTTACAATATAAAACATCAAAGAACTTGGCACAGCTAAGCTCAGAGGAGCTTCTGTACTTCCTAAACTGGACTGTCAGGTTCCACTTTTATATTAGATACTGAAATTCTCATCTTCAAAGAGGGTAATGGGAAAATGGTAGGCACCTCTGGGTTTTAAGAGCTCTGAAGGATAGGAAAACCTGCATGAGGCAATCGGATACCCAGGGATCTGCAAAGCTTGCAGCTCCTCTGGGCAGTGGGAACTAAAAACAGCTGTTAAGTCTGACAAATTCTTAAATATGGTTTTTCTTTTAAGGCTCACAGAAGTAAACCAGCTTAGTGCTTAGCCAGATTAGTGCTTCAATGCTTGCTTAATCATTTGCTGCGCATAACATTTGCGAATGCTGCAGTGCTAAATTGGGTAAGCTCTAAAGACAGTTTACATAATCAAGCATTAAACTTCAAATAGATAAGCAAGGTCATTGCTGCCCCTAGCGCCAAGAAGAGCTCCCAAGTACCCTAAGATTTCTGGCCTAGTTAGTGTGTTTTCAAAGTTCTTTCTAGGACTCTCTTGGTATTTATAAAAGCCTATTTCTCTATTGAAATGCAGAGGAACTTTACAAGAGAAAAGCAGCAGATGGTCTCTTTTCCTGAAAAATCTTTAAGATTCATAAGAAAGAAAAAAAAATAATACTTGTTGCAAAAAGTGTTAACACTGAGATCTAAATACGTGTAAACTCCCATTGCATGGAATAAACACTCCTTGGTTTAACATACAGCACGCCAATAATTAGCCCAAGATTGTTCTGTTTGTCCCCAAGAAGTATCTAGTGCAGAGCACAGGACACTGCAGTCTCTCTCATACAATAATATCTCTTTATGACATAAGATCCACCCATTCTGACAAGATACTTATTTGCTGGGGCTTGAGAAATCTCTGTAGCATTTTCTGATACATTTTGTAACAGGTAATTTAAGATCCAAAAAAGCACATTCTCAGAAAAAACACTCACAGAAACCTAGTCTTATCCTCAAAGGTCACAGAAACAGGTGAAAAAATACTTAGATTACGATAAGCAGCATTTCAGATTGCATCACTCGCATGATTTCCATGAGGTATTTTTCCCTGCTCCATGAGTATTTATTTATGGTCATCATATCTGTGCCTTTATCCTTCTCCATTTGAAACCACGAAGGACAGAATAATCTCAACCATCCCTTAGTTAACTCTGACAATAGAAAGTGTCTCAAAAGGACAAAGGAAAATGGGCCATGAAATCCGTGTGAATAATACGTCGAGAAACACATCACACGATATGAAACTGATCTCTCTCATTTAAGTGCTTATCAACATGGAGCACAGTTTCTCATATCGGAAAGCTAGAAGGAACCACAGGTTCACCTCCCCAAAACCCCAACCACTGAACTTCTCCGAGCTGCCCTTATTAAGACAATTAATTTGAATTGTTATATTTTGTCTTCCAGAAATATCTCTAGTCTTGTACTGAAACATGAAGACATGCAAAATTTATTTGCTAGTTTGTTCCAGGAGAAAGGGGGAAACAGGGAAGACATTCTGATTAAAGACAAATTGATCATTGTGTAGGAGCTTTGCAAAATTCTCGAAGCACCCTTTGGAGCACCTACAGGCATCTGTTTGACACCAAGAATTCTATCAATTCTTTGTTAAAGCCACAGAAACTTTTCTATAACTTGATTTTGGTTTGAATGTCATATTTTGAGTGAAGCTCTTGACAATAAAAATGACAAACAGCATTAGCTAAGGGGAAAAACTTTCTCCTACATTATTTAAATATATTGGGATCTTTCTCCCAAAGCAAAATTTTCCTACTACTTGAATCTTTATCTATAACTTGTATTTAAAGTAGATGTCCTCAAAAGTAGTGTGATATCAGGTCTGCACAAAGTCATTGTCACTTTTGGAGTTTGCCTCAGGTATTTCACTGGTACCAAATTTTGATACCACTGCTCTTCACTGGTACCAGCTTTGTGACAAATCTTCCTCTTCCCTAGGTTCATATATGTTCAAGGGAAAACATTAACTCCATGAATATAAAAGCATTTGAAGCTGATTTTACCCACTTGGGCAAGAGAAATCCAGAGGCTGGAGACCGAGGCAAGGGACACTAAAGACAGCATGACTAGAATTTTACAGGTGTCTTCTGAGATTTAGCAATAGGAGGACACTTTCTGGGACAGAAAAATTCTGAAACTTCCAGGTTGAAACAGAAAATTGAGAAAGGTTTGACCACTGCAATCAGGTTAGTGTTAGGAGAGACACGATGGCTATTAGTTACTTTTTTACTTTGAAAGATCCAGAAAGAAGAGTAAGAGGATAATTGTACGAGAATAAAATAGTGGGATAGCAGCAGAGGGAGTAACACGGAGGCATATGGAGCTCTGCTTCATCTGTCAGAAAACTAGAGTGTCAGCAGGAATCCAGCCAGCACTCGGGGGTTTGTCTGGGCAAGTACTGCTCAGGTGAGCAGGTTACGACTGTCCTGCGTTCACTAGAAAAACCTTGGAATTTAATGCCTGGATTAATGGGAACGTTTACAGCTCTGATAGCTACTGCTCTAGTCTCTCTAGTCTTCCATCTCAAATAACTGCCATTGAATTATTCATTATCTGTTTCTAACTTACTATTCACGAACAGAAGGATTAAAAAACTCTTGTTGTTTTGTTTCACAGCAAAGCTTCCATCTGAAAATAAAGTAGTTATTTCATGAACTCTGGTTTGGAGAAAACCTGGAGGCACGCAGGATGAGATAGAAGCCTAAAAAAGCCCAAATGCATGAAGTTTTACCAGGGTAGCAGCTGTTGTGATGTTTGGGTAAAGCTTGCGGGAGGGAGCTCAAGTAACACCGTTTCATTTCGAAAAAAAACAATCCACAAAACCCCAACACACTGATAGTATTTCATATATTTGAACAAAAGTGAAAGATCTTTAATTAAACCATTTGGAATATGAGAACTATTCATCACAGTGTAAAACTTCTTTCTTTTTTTTATTTAAACACTTTATAGATAAAAGATCCCAGCTTTTTAATTATCTGTCAGGTGAGGAGCAGAACACAGGGATAAAGATTACTTCATTATATAAGTATTTCAAAAGTTATTATTTTATCCATCTGCCAGGAAAGCCCCAAATTACATTTACAATTGCAGTCATTTTATTGATTCATGCTGAGCAGACTAACAGGAATTTTCAGGCTTTCTCAGGCTGGAGAAAGGCTGGTTTTAGCCACGCTCCAGCACGTGGCACACAGGACACATCCCTTCCACTTTTAACAGCCAAGTTTCACAGGCTTTGTAACTTGGTCCAGAACGTGTGCTGTGAATATACATTAAAGTACAGGATTGACAGGGCAGCCTCTGATGGCTGAGTCTTTTCCTGGAGTTTCTGGTTTCATTTGACACTATTTTCATGGACATGTAAAAATTATTCGTAACAGAGAAGGAATATGAGAAACAACTTTTAAAATATTGATAAAAAGGGAACAACTCTCTAATAAGGGTTGCAAAATGTTTTAAAGTACATTTTTTACATAATTACATAGAAAATACAACAGCATCTTCAATTTAAAAATTATCAAAAAAAGAAAAAAGCAAATTCAGAAGAAAAAAAAAAAAGCTGTTGACCAACCTTTATGCCTACGAGATCCATCCATGTCAGAAAACTCAATATGATTTTCATCAGCCCAGTACAGTCTATGGTTGACATAATCTATTGTAAGAGCCATAGGTCTGGATATCTGTGTTTCTATGACAACTGTTTGACTGGAGCCATCCATACCAACACGGCCGATGTGAGGATACTCACAGCAATCAATCCAGTACAAGAATCTATAAAACAAAATACAACAGCTGCTTCATTTAGAGATGAGAAAATAATAACAATTAATTTAGTTAGTTGATCTCAAGAATAAATCAGTATTTATTCTACAATGTTTCCATTTCCACATTGGTTTTTGGATTATTCTAGACCTGCTTGTGAGTGAGTGTGCTAAACGTAAAAGGTTTGAATATCACAGTCCTGATGGTAGGTACAATTTCTTTGGATTCATTATGGACCAGTAAAAAGTGCACTTAAATGCCTTAGTCTTGATACCTTAGAATTTGAAGTATCACCCAGTTTGGACTTCATGAATCTCACATCCTGCAAAAATGGCATCACTGCTAGACTTATGACAAACATTGTATTACAGTTACTTTTTTTAAACACATATTGCAAACCCTTGTTTTTCTGCTAATACTACTGTGCTGCAAATTGTATTACTTCAAGAAGTCCTACTTCCAAAACATTAGAACAGTTTCTCACATAAAGGGCCTAAAAAAATGTGGAAAGCACTGAGAAAGACTGTTGGAAAGCTGAGTAGCAATTTTCTCTTTAGTATACTATTGAGCCACAATACAGAGCATGTTTTCCAAATAAAAAGAAAAACTATTATTTGGTAGATGGATGCACATTGCTATTGCTGTATGCCATTACTTGGAACCTCGGGACAGATCTCTCCAGCTGGGAAGCTGATACGACTCGACTCTACAGGTTTTGGACAGGCTCTCAAAAACCCAGATGCAGCTCATATTTTTAGTAGCCACCTGAAACACTCTTTGTGTCCAGGAGAAAATAGTGGCCCTAAGAACAGCTACCTGTATCCTACAAAACTGTGGAGCAATTGGCACTGAGCCCGTCCCACAGAAGCACTAGAGAAGGGGAACTTTTTCCATTGACTCCAACAGAAATATTTTTATTTGGAAATATATTGTTAGTATTTTATGGCATCAGCAATATAGTTGATATAGCATTTCTCATTTGTAAGAAAAAAAACTAAGATACAATTAATCCTATTTCAAACAATAACTCTGAATCTGAAATGCAAAGTTTTATTTTCAGCGGCTTGCCGTATTAAAAATAAATGAACAAACAAACATATTTATTAGAAAAGAAAAAAAAAAGAGCTTGGTCCCTCATATTGTGCACTGAGCAGGAGCACAGTACAGATTTTATGACTGTGTATATCTAAACCTTCCTGGAAGACTGGGACTCTCTGTATAAACTCTGTAAAGCTGATTTTTGCATACACAGGGAATATATCCTGGATGTCCAGGCAACCAGAGAGAGCTACCATGTATTGGTATCCTGAATACATTTAACAAATGGCTACATCCTCCCTGCCAAATTTCACAGGGAAGAAAGAGTAGAGTTACAAGAAAATTCAGTGCTAAGTTCTAAGAACTGATAGAAAATGGCTCTTCTCAAAAATAGTCAAGTAGGCAGGTTACATTTCTTTCCTAGGAAATACACTGCTTTTCTTCGTTTAGGCAGAGTCCAGATGAACTTAATAATATTCTCCCATCACTGACACTTGAGGTGATTATTTGAAACTTAGGATTTAGAGATGGAAAAGAATCCTGAATTTGCCATGATACCATAACAGTGTTACGAGACACTACTAAAGCTTTATTCATCCAATTTGCAGACACGTATCCTAATGTTCCACAAAACAGAAAGCATTAAATATAGAATTCAGATCTGAAAAGACATAGGACAAGCTTGCCATAGTCTATTTCCTTTATTCAGGCACTAGATGATCATTTAAGTATTACTATTCAGAAGTATTATTTTTCTTAAAGATTATATGCAGCATAAATATTTAAGAGAATACATTTGGTTAGAAATTCACCAGGTTTTAATGACTTTCAATTAAATATACACTTGTGTTTTAGTGGATAGTGATAATATAGATGATGGTTTACTGGTGAATTGAGAGGCCTCTGTTTATGAGGCATTAACTGCGTATTGAGCCATATAGACAATGGCTGTGGCATTACCCATATAGTCACATAAACAGGAAATACATCAATGCTTTTATGCATTTTCTGTTTCAAGAGTATAAATTCTTCTTCTATCATCTGAATTAGAGGACGGCATGAAATGGTTAGAGGGTTTGACTCTAATCTAATTGAGAATCTAATACTGATTTTGTTTTGATCAAATAGCAATGGCTAGAAAGTTTCCACTTAAAAAAAGCCCTAAACAGAAAAAAGTAAGGGCTTGTATTTCTTGGGGTTGGACAAGATGACCTTCAGTTATCCATGCAAAGCTCAACTATTCTGTGACTACGTGAAAATCAAATGTTAAATAAATTTGCTAATGGAAAGATGACTTTTTTTTTCTTTCCTTTTAAAAATCATAGTATTAGGTCAATTTTCTCAAGGACATCAATGTTATGGCAAAAATTATAATATTATAAACTTATAACTGTGAAAAAAAAAGTCCCTGATTCCTATAGCTCTCACACCAGCCAAGGATGACTTTTTTTTTCTTTCCTTTTAAAAATCATAGTATTAGGTCAATTTTCTCAAGGACATCAATGTTATGGCAAAAATTATAATATTATAAACTTATAATATAGCTGTGAAAAAAAAAGTCCCTATAGATCTCACACCAGCCAAAACATCAAAAATGGTGGTGCTCAAAACTTCACTCAGAATACCAGCACAGATTTATATTCATAAATAAATGGTAAGTCATGCAATAATTAATAAAATTAGCAATTAAAGGCACCAGTTAACAAACCACTTAGAGTAACATGGCAGTTCTCACTTCTAATCATTGTTGTTGCAACAATTTTTTCAAGCACATTGATCATTACAAATATCTGAAAACTAAAGTTAGAAACTAAGTCACCTAAAATAAACCCCTTGCATCCTAAAGAATTAATCAGTCTAATTATTAGACATGTGTGAAATTCAAAACTTTAATTTTACAGAGTAAAAAAGGCAAAAGATGTCTTCAAATTATGCAGGATTAAACATTTTCACTCTTCGATTAACATGCAAGAAACTGTCAGAAAAAAAAGTCTTCAAATATGTGGTAGATGAATCACCCTAAATTACTTTGGGAGCCAGTAAACGCAGAAAAGAGTGCTAACAAGACAGTTTGCTTCAGTGAATAAATGAAACAAAGCTGAAAAATTGTCTTCCATGTGACAGGAACTTTTTGTTATTCAGTAACACACTTTAAATAAGATAGGGATATTTTTTAAATATCTGCTTTCCTCCTACCAAAAGAAAACATTTACAGAGTAGTAAATATAACAAAACAAGGCTTAGTACCTGCATTCATCCTTCTATTACACCAATTTTATATGTAACGATGATATAGTAAGCATTGGTAATGCATTTTAGACTACTGATATCCAGTGTAGCTGAAAGTTAGACAATGAAAAACTCATTTGTATTTCCTGTCTTCTGTTTTTATAAGAAAATATTTCAATATAAAATCAGTATTAAATATGAATTACTGCAAAATGGCTGCTTCATACCCAGCTTGAGGATCTAAGGACAGATCTCTAGGAAACTTCACTCTCTTGCTCACAAGGACGGTGGGGTATAAGCCATTGAGTTTAGACACCTCAATAATTCTCTTTTCAGTATCAGACCAATAGAGATTCTTCCCAATCCAATCGACAGCCAGTGCATTGGGAACAGCTGTATTGTGGACTACCTAGAAAAGCAAAAGTTACATAAATTATTCCTCTAAATACTGTGAAAAATAACAATTCAAGAGTTACTAATAGCAGAATATTAAGAGGGTGGATATATAATACAGTGACATGTGAAGAATAGATATTATTCCCTGTTAAACACTTACATTTCTGAAGTAATGCTACTTCATAAGTAGCTAAGATAATGTGACACTTTCCTTACAGTAGAGCAGAATGGAGAATACCATGATGTAGTAAAAAACAATTTTCCAACTTCCCTGCATTATGTTGTAACTTTGAAGAATATTGTATCTTTCATTTTTCATCTTAAGTTTCTAATTTTTCTTTTGTCTCAATTTTAGGGAAAATAAAAACACTACAGACATTTTGCCTTTACTACTCTATTTTTCACAGAACCAAATGGAGATGAGGCTTCTCTCCTCATGGTGTGCCCTCAAACACATCTGCTTATTAGCTCACCATTTCTCTCACCAATCGACATCCACGTATATTTCATTTTAATACCACAGTATTAAAGGGTTCATGACAGACAGACCATAAGGGCATTGAACTCTGGCAAACAGGACAAGATTACCTAGTTGGAAAGTAAATACTGTGCTCTTATTTCCAACATTCACATGGCAGAAAAAAGAGGAACTTTCTAAGAATTAGAATAAATTTCAAAATGACTCCATTATTAACAAAAAAATGGAGACACAGAAGCAATTTAGTTACCCAGTGGAAAGCCTATGCCCTGCTCACAGGGACATGTTATTCTCAAGGTTTCTGATGATCTGAGTAATTCTGAGACTTGAACAAACACCTCTAGATATACCTGATTATAAAATCTCATCATGATTGTACGATTCAATCTTCCTTGGCTGGGAGTACTTCAATGTTAAGTGTTGAGTGACATTTGAATATTCCCAATCATTAGAGTCCAACTTCTCCTAGGCTTAAAAATTCTATTTCTGATAAGGTCTTTTAGGACCTATTCTATTCCTGATTAGGTCTGTGCAACTAGAACTTAGGGGAAAAAAAAAAACAAACCCAACACAGAGCAATACTTGAAAATATTTGAGATTTCTTAAGTACTAATAATGGGTTTATTACTGTAGTGTTCATTCTAATTTATTGTCATCTTCACCACTAAAACCATGTGCAATAGAGTATAAAACATTACACATAAACCTGATTATGTATAACTGAATGTGTTATTTTTAATTTTATTTACCATTTCAAGAAACTGAAAAGCCTTCAATATAAGAAGGGATACTATGAGATACTTTAAACCAATTTTATAGTTATGAATATGTAAAAGCACCCTTTCATGTTATTACGATATTTATCACCTTATACAATTTTTAGAAATTAAATCCAGGCACGCACCAATTTTTTAATATGAATGAAGTACTTTATTTTCTAATATCTTAACACTTCCAGCTCCCTGGTTTATAAATATGTAATTGCAGCAATCGCTGCGCTGTAACATGGGACATTTCACGTAGAAATGGATAGCTCTGCAAACTTAGATAGTGTTTTAGCTACACTATCTAGAAGCATCAACCAAAGTAATTAGTCTCTCTTTTCTGATGACTCTTCCTTTGGAGAGTCGCTTTAAGCTTATTGCTGTCACTGAGATCAGCAATGTGACATTTAAGGTACACAATCCAGCTTACTACAGCATTTCCCAATAGCAGATTTCTATTCTATTTCTAAATCTACAATACTATATATAAAACACTGTGTTAGTGTTTGAACACATTAATGTGAAAAATTTCTTGCTTCAGTTGTATAAATATCTCCTCCGTGATCAGATGCAGAAGAAAAATGAGATGCCATCAGGTTACCCAGTACAAGAAAGCTAGAGCTGATAGGCTGAAAAGATGCTATCTTCTAAAAGTACACTATTAGTACACTAATAGTAAATTTATTTATAGGAAATAGTAAAAGAAGTATGAAGGAAATAAAATTAAAAATTCGTACTTCAAGGTAAAAGGCTATCAAACATAAAACCTCCCTTCTATGACAAAAAAAATAATTAAAATATTTAAACAGGATTGCTGGCAAACTAATTATTTTTAACATCAATTATTGAATATGTGCTATGCTAACCTATTAAAATCAAAGTCAAAGAGACATACAGTTATCATTTGGCAATGGATAAAATATTACTGACAATTTCAGACAGCTACAATATATAATTCTTGATACATTTTTGCACATATTTTTATCTTTCAGAGGCCAAAGCTGAGCCAATTTTTTCAGTGAAAAAACCAAATACTCTTATGAAAATTAAATGCACTTATATTCACAATTTTTGATTCGAATTTGGCATCCCATTTGAGTAACATCTCTATCAAGATGACATTCATTCACTAAATTGCAAAATATTAATGAAGGACAAAAGACATACCCTCCATGCCCCCAGTCTAATTTTCTTCTAATATTTGTTCAAATTTTTGAAACATTTTCATAGAAATGACATTATTATTACATCATTAGGAAGCAATAGGAGTTTTTTCTGCACTCCCACCTGGAAATTCCGACTTTTTGACTGGGAAAAATTCTTTGTTCTTCTTGAAATAGTTAAGACTAGAAAGAAAAAGTCTGGGGTAATCCCCAGTCCCGAGAACATTCCCTAAAATAACAAAATACAAACTACTCTGCTACAAATAAGATACAAATGCAATTAAATTTTACTAGGATATGCTACTGTTACTGTGTCTATATGTATATACCAAAACCTCACAATCTGGTTTCAAAGTATGAAGGAGCATTCCCCAAAATACTCAAAAAATTTAATTCTAGTAGTGACATTATTAATCCCCAATTACCTTGATGTCACTTCCATTTAAAGACATTCTGTTTATGCGGCTGCCATTTGGTCTGCTGGAATCAATCCAATAGATGAACTCTTCTCTGTAGTCAAAGTCTATTGCAATCACATTGTTCAGCCCCTAAAAATAGAAAAAAGAAAAGTCCATTCATTCAAATGTTTGAATACAAACTGTTGGATAGCATTCAGAATGCAAAATACATGGCATGCGGTATTTAAAATGCTTTATTTTACTGACTGCATATTTTTGAAATACCACTCTTATTTTTCCATACATAATTTGTAAACAATCAGAAAAATACAAAAAAAATTGTAACAGAAATAAATATGGTACAAAGAACTATCTCACTTAAAAAATGCAGATGACAAAAAACCACATGAAGCTTCTGTATTTTTCTTCCCTATGATTAAAATGAACTTTAGCAATAAATACTTTAACTTTTGCTCAATTTCCCTGTTAATGACTAACTTTGGCATTATTTTGGTAAACTAGATGACACTTATTTTGAAATAAACTCAGAAATAGTATAAAATTTATTATTTTTATTAATGAAAAAACTTCATTATTAACATAAAATAATCAGAAATTCAAAATTGTGATTCCCAAATAAGCATTAATTTTAATTCCTGCAGGAGGTTTTAAATTCTTAGATGCTGTATTGTAGGTACTGTGTACAGGTATATATAGATATATGTGTATACACGCACACACACAGAGGTAGTATATACAGTGTGACAGCTGGTGATCCAGCAGGCATCTGGAAGTCTCCTATTGCTCCAGTAACTAAGCCAATAAATTTTAAGAGAGAGTGATAATCATATTTGAGGTACTTCTACAGGTTGGGAAGAGCAGCCATATAATAATGACCCTTCATCCCAAATGGCGGATAAGAAACAGGCATTGCATTCAGAGGCTGGCTCTTATCTCCTTATCTGAGGTTAGGAAAGTCTTCCACCATAATCTGCATAACATTCTGAGATGTGGCAAAATCAGAATTATTCTTAACATACAAATCAATCTTAACATACAATCAAGGATGCCCAGAGAAGCTGTGGCTGCCCCATCCCTGGAGGGGTTCAAGGCCAGGCTGGATGTGGCCTTGAGCAACCTGGTCTGGTGGGAGGTGTCCCTGCCCATGGCAGGGGGGTTGGAACTAGATGATCTTTAAGTCCCTTCCAACCCAAACCACACTATGATTCTATGGAGCAGCAGTGGTAAAAATAATGGATTTAGTGTGCACTCCTTTTAAACCCACAAGATAATTCTAATCAATTCCTTTATCCGCTGAATGCCATTCTACTCTCAGGTAGATCAGCAGCCTCCCTCGTTTATGTAATTCAGAGTTGTAGAGGGGATGTGCTGGACTTGCCAACTCTAAAATAAACAACTAAGAACAACAATATTTAATTGTACAGAAAGTGATACAGGGCTCATCTGCCAAATACTACAGTGTAATACTGTAAATAAATCTTTTGATTAAAATGTAGAGGAAAAGAGTGATTAGGCTGCACAAACCATCATTAAAGAAAGCCTGAAACAATAGTTTTGGAGGACTATTCTCATTTTCAAAAATCCCATATCCATTCACAGTGTTTTAATGCCACCAACTGCAGCTCTGTCAGTCATAACTGTGCTGCAAGAAACTTTTCCTATCTTTTTTTCTACTACCAATATAAATGCATCTACTGGTACAAATGCAACTCCCCACCCCAATTCTTAACAAAGGAGACAAGTGAACAAATACAAAAGACTATCAAAACTTTATAATATTTGGTAATATGTGAAAAATTAGTCTTATATCTATGTATTCTACAAAACTGTAAATGTTTCTAAAGTACCCAGCCTAATAAAGAGAAATTACTTCGTGCAAGTCTTTGGTTTCAAGTGTTTTATTTCGGGTCAGTTTAGTTCCAATATTTATCAGAACATCAACCGCAGGTAAAATTATTTCTGAACATCTTCAGTGGAATTCTTTGTCCAGACAACATCTCCTCTCACCATCCTCATGTCACTTTTAAGTCCTTCTAACATAATTTTTGTCATTTCTCATGTAATATGCTTTTAGAAGGAATAGGGAAGCTTTCAAACAGCATCGGCTGCATTATTCTCTCATTTTAAACCAGTGTTTTTGTTTGTTTCTGTTACACACAGCACAGGCGACCCTAGGCTGTGATTTGTGTTGCCTTAGTGCCCTAATCTAAAAAATGCAGGTGAAAACCACAAATAATGAGGAGGAAGAGTCTCTTTATCTGCTCTGTCTATGGACACCCTAAGAATTTTGATGACTAGGAGCGAAGGAAATGGAAGGCAAAGAACATACATGAGACACAATTCAAGCAGTTGTACTGTTTTTATTAAAAAAAAAAAAAAAAAAAAAAGAGGAAAAAGCTGGTATGTAACAACTCAGAGAAGACTGAATGAATTCCAACTTTCAGCTCCTCTACTCTGAGTTTATATGAAGAACTGTTAGAATGGCAAAGCACAGACCAAATACAGAGAGAAGGCTGGTGCTGCTCCTTTGCCAGAGCAGCTCCAGTATTTGCCTTCATCTGGTAGATGTCTAAGGAAGAGCCAACCCACCATAACATTACAAGGACAAAAAGATGTCCTTATGAGGAAGACAGCCCACCTGTTCTGCTGGTATAGCTCCCTCTTTTGCTTTCAAATCTGGATGCTTTTAAAAATGCCATATTTATAGGATCAAAGGCCAGCAGGTTCAATAGCAGAGGTATTTATTAGACTAGAGAATTAATGTGATATGGAAAACACAGATTCTCTTCAATGGCTGGAGCTACATCATCTCTAATGTACTGAAGAGGAGTCTGTTGAATTCAAGACTGATGAAGCTCTCAGCAAATCTGTCAGCACCAACCATAAAGAAAATTTACATTTGCTCCCCTCTTTTCACAGGCTTCTATTAATAAAAATATACCAGCAAAAGAGGAGAGAGGCAGTGAGATGTAAATGAGAGGTAGGCAGAAGGATTTCAGAAGAACAGACTTTAACATAATGCTTGCTATGCTTAAATAAAGTCAATGTTTAATGCAAGATGGTTAATTTTGTAATTACTGCTGTGAAGACCTGAGCACCTCTCTTGTGACATTAGGATGCACAGCTTACTGACACAAGAAGTCACAAAAAACCTAACACTACTGACTGGCAATAACTGATTTTATAGTCTTTCTACAATTCATTAATTAGTACTTGAGGAAATAGATGTTCCTATTAAAACATATTTTGGAACTCTAATCTCTGGTAAATAACTACACTTAGGTGAAGCATAGAAGCAGAGCAGAAACAGATAAAAATGACAGCTCTGTAATTACGGGGTGACTTTCTATTTTAGTAGGCTTTTTTCAAATAAGGTTGGGGCTTTTTTCCTATAATAATAATTTAGAGTAATTGTTTAAAAAATTAGATTTATTCAAAGATATATGTTCACATATTGTAATACTGTAGGTCTTGGAATTATCTAAACCAAAAAGTAGATTTAGATTATAACATTAAGTAGCCCAAATAATACATGGCCAAATAGGTTTTGTTTGTTTGCTTTTTATTTAACTGAAATATATAAATTGCTCAAAATATATTGTGATGGGAGAGGATCACAAATAACAATTATTTTTACTACATCTGAATGACTGACGAAACAACTGCCTGAACTTTAATCATGCCAAATTCAGATAAAATGATAAATTTAAAATATTATGAAAGCTCTGAAGATACTGCAGTTGTTCTGTGGTGCATACAATGCCAATTGTAGCATGATGTTTCTGTCAGCTGCACACTTTAGGAAAGAATAAAAGTATTGAGTTAAACTTAGAGCATGGTACTATGATTATACCTGTTTCAACAAAGTGTAGTTGGATCCATCAGTGCTAATTTTTCTTATTTCATGATGATCAGCCAGAATTAAGAAAGGTTCCTCATCTAAACCCCGGGAGAAAGAATATATTAGACTAGCTTTTACGTTAATTTATGGAAAATCAGGAATACAATGCTGAAATACAGATGGTTTGAAAAATAAATGTTACATGCTCTGATCAATGTTATGGATGAAAGAAATATTTAAAACATTCAAATGTTCCAAGAAAGATCAATGATGCAGTATAAAAATGAACAAAGCAATCAATTAGTATATTTTTCAATGTTATTTAATTTTTTTTGCCTTTGTAATACGGGAACCATACTGTATTTTATGCTAATTTAATAACAGAGTTAAATTTGAAATATATTTCATACCACTTGTTTTAATTTCAACATTCATTTTCAAATTATCACTAAGACTATTGTTTGTTATTGTTGCAAACCAAGAACGTTTTGACTGTTGCTTTTTGAGATTTCAATACTCTGAACAGTATAGACATAAAGAAATAGCTATTTGGACAAACCTTGATTTTCTAATTCTTAACTGAAGCCAAATTTGGTCTTTCTTACCCTCAGTCTTCTAGTTTATCAAAAAATATTCCTTCAGACACTCATTCATGCCACCACTTATCTTGAAACACCTCTGACACTGACATATATAATAGTAAAAAAATAAAAAATAAAATCTTTAAAAAGCTGTCATTATTTTAGCTCTATTGACCTTTATTTAGCTGTATTGCAGCTGAGAGACTTCAGCTGCAATAAAACAATTACTACTAATAATTAAAGATGTATTTAAGACTTGTGTCTACTGCTCATAGAGTCTGGAATGTAACACGTTGTCCACCCTACTCTGCTCTTGCACTGAATACATTGTACAACTGTGGTTGTGTGGTCGCTCCACCTCTTAAGACATTCTCCAGTTTTTAAACGATCCAAGACATCATCCTCAGCACCGACTGTTAGTGCTTTGTGGGGAAGGGCTTTAACATTCTGCTCTAAGAGTTCAAGGAAATTTATGCAAGAAATTAGCATGAGGGCAAACATTCATGTGTTGGCACCTCCTCGCAGCACAACCATTCTAGCCACAACCCGAACAGCTTTGTCGTGATCACTTTGGAAGTTTGATATATTACAACTCCAACAAACTGTACTATGATGTGTTCCAGCTCCCCTTCTCGTTTGAGTGATCTATGGCTTCAAAATGTACAAGTGGCTTGTGAGGCATGAGGCAGGAGTAAAGCAAAAGACAG